TGACTGATTAAAAAAAAAAAAAAAAAAAAGGATTATTGCAAATGATTAAGTTTTGCATTGTTTTGTTCCTATTCTTTTAATTTGAGGATTTTAATGTGATATATGTTAGTTTTTTCCACTACAACATTCCGAATTTTCCACATAGTGGTGTTATTACTAGAAGGACAAACCTCAGCCTGGATTTTGAACAATGATCTTCCATTAACAATAAGTGAGAGCATTATTAGAAATTGTTTAACCCAGGTGTTGGAGTTGAAATGTATATTTTAAACGATTACATCTTTCAAATGTTGTCAAGTTTTTTGAAGAACATGTAATTTTTTCTTGTAACTACACTATCACATTTTTTATGAAACTTTTTTTTCTTTCTCTACAAAATTTTTGATATAAGGTAAAGAAATTGACATACAAAAGGTATAATAATTTTTAAACTGTTTAGGATTTTATGATGTAAAATTTTCAAGAATAAATGTTTTTGTAAAGAAATAAATATTGGGCCACTAGATAAGAAATTTAACAGTTCCATGTCGTTATGATGCAGCACGGTACAAAAGTACTAACTGTAACATTGTTCTAGATTATTAGTTATTCACAAAATATCAGTTTATTAATAGTTTCCTAAGTTTTTTATTTTTTCTATACAAAAATATAAATAATTTTCTGTTAGTTTCTGTAGGTACTGTATTCTATTTAGGTAATTCAGTTCACCATTGTTCCTGTATAATATAAGAAAAAAAATCTTGTTCAGGTAAAATGACACTTGTGCAATTTGTTGGTTTGTTTTTTCGTTGTTCATATTTTTAAAAGTACTTAAAAATATTAATTTTTATTCCACCTCTTTCTTTTTTACACTTTTATTTCTTCCTAAAATTATTTAAGGGTATTGGGAAACTTTCAACTGAGGTGGAAAATCTCCTCTCTTGTGCTAATACATGCTGTTATTCTTGTATTACACATGATAGTACTTACAAGTCATAAATCTTAGTCACCCCCCCATCTAGCTTGTCTGAATTTTATTCTTTTTTTTTTCCCCATGGGTTTGGGTGATTATAAGAGTTGCAGTCAATTCCTGAGTTATAAGTGATAGGATGCTGCTGGCTGGCTGCTTTCCCCCCTGGTCAGTAGTTGAAAATTAGGGATGGCAGCAGGTAGCCTTTGTAGCTTTGCCATAAATACAGTTATTAATTAATTTATTTATTCTTTAAGTCAAAAGTTTTTGAACAAGTTTTGTGGTGATTGTTACTTATGACTAAATAACAATATGGAAGTGAATAAATAATTAAATAAACTATTCAGCAAATGTAATATTTGAACAGCAAGGTGAATAAAAAAAATTCTATAGTAAAATTCTTATCAGCTTACACAGATCTAAACCTAATTAACAGATTGTCAGTCTATCTATTCATATAGTGCACTTCAAATGATCTCTGATGTACAGGTTAGTTTTATTTGAATCTTACTTTGGCTGGACTCTCAAGGTCTATTTTATATTATAAAATTTCTAGATGTTATGGTTTGTATTATTCAAAGATATTTCCTTATGTAAAAACATTAAGGTGTACATTTCTTTTTTTGTAATTTTTATTACCTAGTTATTTTATTTACGTATACATATCATTGTATGTTTTTTAAATATACCGTAGTCTCAACCTTGGATATCTTGTGTTTGACAGGATGCTTTTGTGATGGTATTAATGAGTTGAAGATAATATCAAAATATTACAAGTCTCATTTTAGAGACTGGGAGCTGTTTTTTTTCTGCATTGTACTGATAAGTATATCATATGTGTTCTTAACTGTTTCTGTATAGTACACAAGAGTAAAATTACATTTTTTTTAAGTTTACAGAACTGTATTTTGTGAAACACTTCAAATCCTAATACAACACATCCCATGAACAGTCCTTGTTCATTCAACTTTTGTCTGTAGACCGTTCATAGAAGATTCCAGTATTGGTGGGCATGATTTGATATGCTTGATTTGAGTTGATAACGTTTCCTTCATTTATGACATAGTGCTTTGGAAAATTGATTATTTTCAATTCATCAGAAACTTGAAGTACAAGAAGCAACTTTTAAAGCCCAAAGGTGACAATAAACTTTGAGATCTATGGTGTTATTTTATGGTTTCTTCTGGATTGAAAAATAAGCCCATTGTTTAAGCACATGTTAAAAGTTTGCTAGGGTATTGAGGATTTAGTAAGTTTTCATTATTAAACATGAATTATAAAAAGTTTTTTAAAATAAATGTTAAAGAATTTGTCTACTTGACAAGATTCTTTTTTTTTGTGTGGGTATCTTGTTATATTGTGGCATTACTTGTAATTGTAACACTGCCTTCTGTGGTTTCGTAAAGCTGTGATGTCACACATGTGCCTATTGTGGACAAAACTCTGATCTTCACAAATCACGTGTGTGAATATTGGGATGCCTGATTGAAACCCAGAAACATTATGAATGATTAAAAAGAACTAGTTTCTTTTCAGGAACACTTAAGATTTTTAGTGTTTTGGGATTGTATTTTTTTTTCTGTCATTTTGGTAATTACACTGCTGTTTATCACAAATCGTAAAAATAATATAGTAGTGTTTTAAATCACAGTAACAAAGTGATAGAAGAATGTCATAAATTAAAATTATACGTAATTTGATATTTTTTATTATCCTCGGATATATGATCTGTAAGGTTTGTTTTGGGGCAAAATAATCCAAACCTTAAATTAAGGGAAGAGTAAAGAACCCTTAAAGAAAAACAAGAAGCCAAAAAAAAATATTGTTAGTTTTTAATGGTATCTATGTTGCTGAAACCAAACTAGCAGGTAACTTTGTGTTTTGTTTTTTGTATTTATTTTTACTACTGTTTTTAGGATATTTATGAAATGTGCAAAAATTTAAAATGCTCCCTTGGTGTACTTATTGATACGGTTCATTTGTACAGTTTTAGTCAGGAGATGTTTCAAACATATGGTGGACAGAAAGGAGATTCTCTAAGGTACTCTTCATATAATTTTTCATACGGTAAAATTTACCTTGAATGAAGGCCAAGGTGCATTAGAACATTTGTATCTATATGTTTATGATTTCAGTAGTAACATTTCAGCAAGTTAGAATTGATAATAATGTGTTCTTGGTTTCATTATGTACAAATATATTTCTGATTATGGATTTACTTGTGTTTACATTCGTAGATTAAGCTTTGGCAGCATTATCAATAAAAACTGAAAGATTTACGTTTCATATCTTTGCAGTAGCAAAGCTCTTTCTGTATGTAAAGGTTCATGCAATGAAGAAACAGTTGTTGGAAAACATTTTTTTTTTACCTCTTGCATGACAGTACCATACAATGAAGAAACATAGTTGTTGGAAAACATTTTTTTTTACCTCTTGCATGACAGTACCATACAATGAGTTGTATGGTTAGACTTGGCAGCAGTGTGCACTTTGAATCTGATGTGTGTTTTTTTTTTAATGTTCTTGTGGCCATAGAACTTTGTATATTTAATGTCTTCTTACATTTAGTATAGAGATTATAAGTACAAAAGGAGGGAAAGTATTTGGATTAAGAAATGATTTTTCTCTACCTTTAACATATACCATCATAAGAGTGAAATTTTATGAAATACAAAATTTATTTACTGTTTAAAGCAAAAAAATTTTTTAACAGCAAACAGGTAGGAAGAAATATCAACTTTGTCTTATTTAAGACTTCTGTTTCCATTAGTGTCTAACAAATAGTTTGCAAATTTTTGTTTGCATTTTTTTTAACTACTTCAAATGTATATAGTCTTAGCTATAAAGAGTACAATTTAACTGTAACCTAGGTAATATGATGAGATTGATCAAATGGTGTTTTATTCTTTAAAATATGGAAAGTTTTTGTTTTTACAATGCATTGTAAACTTGCTTTTTTAACTTTTAAAATTTCTTAAGTTGTAAATCATTATTCTAAGCTATATGTGTGTGTGTGTGTGTGGTGACATGTCCAGTATATGACATGTGTGAAAGTACAGTATCATATGGTAATATGCCCAGTTTGTGATATCATAGACTGATGTAATATTTTCCTTTTGCAACTAGTTAGTTACACACACACACACACTAAGAAAACATAGAAATTGTTCAGAATTGAGAGGTTGAAATTTGTACTCTACTGTGTGTTTAAATATTAATCTTTTTCCACAAACAAAGTCAAGATAATGAACTTTTGTGGGATTTTAATTCATATTTGCCTTTATCATATGTGTGTGTGCAAATATTTTGGAGTTAGTGTCTTTGTAAAGCTTATAATTAATATAGTAAATGTGAAGCCTAATCTATCTTTCAATTCACTGCTTGTACTGAGTTATACTGGATTTGAGGAATTCCACAACCCTCATCAGTAACCTTGGACAAGGGGAGATTGCAAAACAAGACTGGGCTTCTTGTGGTGAACTGTATGATGATAATTTTTTATTCACCCCAGTGGCAAGTAACAGACAACTAAACACCATATACATAACTTGTAATTAATGTTAATAAAATGCTTTCTGAAGCTTCAGTTATGTTAGAATCATGTAGTATTGTAAATGTTACTTTGAGATGGGAACATATATTATGACAAGAGGAGGATAGAAAAGTTAGAAAGTTGGACATTTTTTAATACATTTTTTTTAAATTATTCAAAATATGGGTGTTCACGTAGAAAGAGTAGGTTAGTTTGTAGTGTTTCATAGCTTCCAGTTGTATAGAAAAAACCTGCGGCTAGTCGTGGTTTGTCTGGTAATTGGTACATTCTGTACTTCAGTGAAAAGTGGGGTATTTTTTTGTGTTAAACAAACAGAACGTAAAGAGTACTTTGCATGCCAGCTAGTCACTGAACTATCACTGCCATTTACAACTTTTTCTTTCACCCAGTAAGCTCAAA